GTCACAGCTCACAGCAACCTCCAACTCCTGGGCTTAGGCAATTCTCTTGCCTCAGCCTCCCAAGTAGCTGGGACTACAGGTACCCGCAACAACACCCAGCTATTTTTTGTTGCAGTTTGGCTGGGGCCAGGTTTGACCGCCACCCTCGGTACATGGGGCCGGCACCCTACTCCTTGAGCCACAGGTGCCACCCTAATTTTAAAAAATAATAATTATGCAGGAAAAAAATTCCACAGAATATGTTTCTGATTCCAGCAATTAACAGTAAAAGAACATTAGAAATTCCCAGAATCCAGCAGCACCTGTGGCTTAGTGAGTAGGACGCCGGCCCATATATCAAGGGTGGTGGGTTTGAACCCGGCCCCTGCCAAACTGCAATAAAAAATAAAGCTTTGTGGTGGGCACCTGTAGTCCCAGCTGCTCTGGAGGCTGAGGGAAGACAGTCACCTAAGCCCAACAGCTGGAGGTTGCTGTGAGCTGTGACTCACATTAGTCTACTGAGGGTGACAAAGTGAGACTCTGTCTCTAAAAAAAATTTTTTTTAAACCTCCAGGAAACAGACAAGATCATTTTAAACTTGTTTTTTCTTTTTTTATTTAATTTTCAGGTGATATGTGAAAACAATTTATACTTAAAGAAGAACTTAAACAGCCAATAATAACTGTTATGCGTGGATTTTTGAATGAGGTCATGTATGATTAATGAGCTTCAAAAGCAGAATATGATGCCTTTGCTGGTGAAGTTCATGCTAATCTACAATGTTCAGTAAATCTGTAACGTCACTGACCTTAGCTAGCTAGCTCATCCCACTATAGCTCTGAGATCTTTGTTTTCGTTTGTTTGTTTTTTGAGACAGAGTCTCCGTATGTCATCCTTGGTAGAGTGCTGTGGTGTTACAGCTCACAGCAACCTCCAATTCTTGGGCTTAAGTGCAATTCTCTTGCCTCAGCCTCCCAAGTAGCTGGGACTACAGGCATCCACCACAACGCCCAGCTATTTTTTGGTTGCAGTTGTCATTGTTGTTTAGCAGGCCTAGGCTGGGCTTAAACCTCAAACCTTGGTATATGTGGCCGGTGCCCTATTCACTGAGCTACGGGCACCGAGCCTGTTTGTTTTTGAAATAGAGTCTCACGGCTCGGCGCCTATAGCTCAATCGGCTAAGGCGCTAGCCACGTACACCTAAGGTGGCGGGTTCGAATCCCCAGCCCGGACCCGCCAAACAATGACGGCTGCAACCAAAAAATAGCTGGGTGTTGTGGTGGGCGCCTATGGTCCCAGCTACTTGGGAGGCGGAGGCAGGAGACTCGCTTGAGCCCAGGAGTTGGAGGTTGCTGTGAGCTGTAATGCCACGGCACTCTACCCAGGGGGGACAGCTTGGGGGTTTTTTCAAAAAAAAAAAAAAAGAAATAGAGTCTCACTTTGTCACCCCCAGTAGAGTGCTGTGGCATCATAGCTCACAGCAACCTCAAACTGCTGGGCTCAAGCAATCCTCTTGCCTCAACCTCCCAAGTAGCTAGGCCTATAGGTGCCTGCCACAACACCAGGTTATTTTTAGAGGCGGGGTCTTGCTCAAGCTCAGGCTGGTCTCGAACTCGTGAGCTCAGGCAATACCCCCGTCTCAGCCTCCTGGAGTGCTGGGATTATAGGTGTCAGCCACCGTGCCCGGCTAGTTCAGAGATCTTGCTGTGGAATAAAGTAACTCAGTCAGAAGTGGATTATGAACATGCTTTATTATAAGTAGATGACAGACACTAAAAATTATGAAGTAAACAAAATTTCAAACAGGTAAAGAGGAAACAAAAGATTAAGGTGTCCCTGTAGAATAGTGCAAAATGGGAGTACACCCCCATATTGTTATCTACAATAGGTACTGAGGGGAAAGGACCCCACAGTTCAGACTACAACTAAATGACCAACACAATACTATGATCCACCTCAACCTCCAGCCAGGTATTGTGACAATCAAGTTTTATTTAAATCATAGTCCCATGTCTTCTGTCAGTTATGACAAAATAATAGGACTTGTATGGTGAGGAACTAAGAGCAATGGTATGACCCTTGGAGAGGCTGGTGACATACGTATGGCTTACTTCTCACTGGGGCTATTTTCCTGCATAGTCTTCATTATCCAGTCAACATAGTTCTTCACCTGTGTGTAGAGCCCATAGGTCCCGCACTCAGGTCCCCAGGACACCAGGCCAGCTACATAGAATTTGGGAGTACTTTCATTGGGATCCTGTATGGCAAAGGCCCCACCACTGTCCCCTTTACAGCTATCAACACCCTTTTCTCCTCCAGCACAGAACATGTTATTGGTGAAAACATAGGAAGCTACATTTATATTGGAATTTTTCTTTTTCACGTTTTTGCACTTCTCTAAAGGAACTATAGGTAACTTTGCCCCTTTGAGGTGAAGAGCATATTCTCTTTTTTCTATGCGGCCCCACCCTGAGATCATCCCTAGGAGGTCAACAGAAGGGTTATAGTCAGCAGAGGTGCCCGGAAGGCAGATGGGAGAGACAGTGGGTCCCATTTTCACCGGGTCTTTCAGCTGCACCAGCGCAATGTCATTATCAAAATTCTTCCGGCTGTCTGAGTCATCCAGCGCCTCCCAGCCCGGATGAATAAACACACGTTCAGCAGTGAGCATCTGGGCATTTTCCAGAAGTGAGCTCTTTACTAAAGTGGACCCAACGTACATGATTGGATGCTGGTTTCCCTCCACGACGTGGGCAGCCGTTAGCACCCAGTGCTCACCAATAAGAGCCCCACCAGCCCACGGGCTCTTAAAGAAGACTTGCCAGGGGAAACTTTCAATCTTTGCGTTCGATCCTCCAAAGATCCTCTGTTTTTCTATAAAGGGCTCTCTGGGGACTCCACACACTAGGAAGGAGTAAGAACAAGGTAGGGAAGGAGCAGGAAAGATGCTGGCCTCCCCCACATCCTCCAACCACGCAAATACTTTACCTGCTAAGCTGCAGAGTTGTCTAGTGTGATGTGGTCAACTCTATGTGGCCAACCATCTCAACACCTGACTCGTCCTGGCCTTACCTAAACTTCCCACTTTGCCAATACCACAAAGACAGGACTCATCCAAATGTGCTAGTGCCTCACCCTCGCCACAGCCTCACTGGAGGCAAGTCTGACCCCAGGCTCAGCACATGGGGCCAGGGGCCTACCCAGGAGCCAGTGCTGAGAAACTCTTTCCTTTCTACCTCCTTCTGATGCCCAGATCAAACCCATGTCTCCTTCTATTCTGGATTCTTGGTTGCCCCTGTGTCCCTCCTGGTAACCCGCAGGTCAGTTCAGGAAGTAAAGAGAGGGAGCCCTTCTTTGGTCATGGCCTCTCCCTCCCCAGTGCCTGGTTCCAGGTGTGATTGCTTGGCCATTCCCTTATATAACTGAATTTTAGACAAAGCCAACTTAACCAAATCCCTTACTGGACAGCTGGCATCTGAGTTGACAATGGGCTTTGGACTCAGACAGACTGGGGCTCAAAGCCTACTCCTGCCACTTGTTAACTCTGGGACTTGCACTCAATTCACTCATTTGTCAAATGAGACCAGTAACACCTACCTCACAGGGCTGTTACAAGGACGGAATGAGATAATACATATAAAGGCAACAAACTGGCCCAGTCCCCCACTCCTGTAATGTTGTTACTACCAGGATCATTACTATTATGATGGCTTTGCCCCAGCCTTCTACTCGTGCACTCCCTCATTTGTTGTGTTCCTCATAACTTATTGGCATATAAACTTTCAATCTAACATCTAGGCTATTTAACAAGTCTTATTTCTGAGTGTTGATTTCTCACTCTCAGCTCTCACGCCCTGTTATATCCATACCCATTCACTGCATCTCTATTCCCAGACCCAACTGGCCACCCTGACTTTAGCACCAACTGTCACTGGCTGGCTTTTCTGTTTCCTTCCAGTCATTATGGTTGAAAGAATCCCCCAGGCCCTGGCAGGCTCCAGCCCAGTGTTACTGCCTCCTCAGTGAGTTGGACTTCTAAAAGGATTACAGCTACTTTCAGATGGTGACTCCCCACTCACCTGCACCTGTGGCTATGGTCTCCACCCAAGCCTAAGCCTGATTACCTGGAACACATTTCGGCAGCTCTGTGCCCAACACTTCATTCACCCAGCTCCCATTGCCAGCGCAGCGATACTCTCCTGGAACAGCACAGAGAACAAAGGTCACTCTCACACCACATCTCTCTTCCCCATTTTCATTCACAGCCTTGGTTCCTCTGGGATTTGAGAAGGAGATCAGATCAATTTATCTAGAAAAAAATCTTGAGAAAAGCCCCCAAACAATCCCTTAAGCCCTGCCCTACCAACGGAGGAAACGTTTCCAAAGCAGAAAGAAGAAGAGTTATGGTAGAGACTGGGAAAATGCTTCAAGTGGGAAAATAAAAAAAAAAAAATCCAATAAAACAAAGTGAAATCAAGGTTTGGCATGATGGTTCACACCTATAATTCTAGAAGTCTGAGAGGCCAAGGTGGGAGAATGGGTTGAGACCAAGAGTTTCAAACTAGCCTGAGCAGCATAGTGAGACCACAGTCTCTACAAAAAATAAAAAAATTAGCCAGGCATAGTGGTGTGTGTCTGTAATCCCAGCTACTTAAGAGGCTGAGACAGGCGGATTGCTTGAGCACAGGAATCTGAGGTTGCAGTGAGCTATGATAATGCCACTGCATTCTAGCGTAGGTGACAAAATGACACATCTCAAAAAGAAAAAATCAAATAAATAGCAATGTAGAGAGATGTGTTTCTCATCCAGCCCTTCATCTAGCATGATCAAGGCCTCCATATCAAGAAAGCCAGTCATCATAGCATAGTGACCTGAAGCTGGAAGCATTTCTCCTGTGGGTTTCACATAAACTAATTGGACAAAGTAGATATCCTATGAAAGGGATATTGCAGGGCAACTCTTGTTACACCTGTGAAGCTGAGTTGGTGACCTCTATGATTCTCTAGGAATGACTCTAGAGATTGTATATTCTGACCATATGAAAACTGTATCCTGGCTTGGCACCCATAGCTCAGTGAGTAGGGCGCCAGCCACATATATAAAAGCTGGCAGGTTTGAGCCCAGTCTGGGCCTGCTAAACAACCAATTGCAACCAAAAAATAGCCAGGTGTTGTGGCAGGAGCCTGTAGTCCCAGCTACTCAGGAAGCTGAGGCAAGAGAATCGCTTAAGCCCAAGATTTTGAGGTTGCTGTGAGCTGTGACACCACAGCACTCTACCAGGGGCAACATAGTGAGACTCTGTCTCAAAAAGAAAAGAAAATTGTATCCTTAGACTAAGCCAGGGAATGAACAATGTCTTTCTAGTCTCTCATTTCTCTACAAACTCTCTCTGACCCAGAAAGATTGTGATAGTCACCTACAACACTGTCTCACTTTTTCTCTCTTCTCTCTAGGAGAAGAAACCTACCACTGCCTTCATGTTCCATGTAGTAATATGGCTCCTCACATGTGTAGCGAGTGACAGAACCAAACAAAGTACTTTCTGGATCTTCAACTTTTCCATTCGGAATGGGATCGGGGATACCACAGTCCACAGCTACAAGAGAAAAGCAGGTCACTAATGATCAAGACAGCCACTTCCTCCCAGGGAGAGTCATGGGCCCAGTTCCATTCTCACTCTTTCCCTACTCCATATCTGTAAGCACACCTGGGATGACTCTTCTCATACCATACCTTCCAACCGGCATCACCCCACTCCCTACACAATGAGACTTGCCAATTCAGATGGCCCCTGGAAAGCTACAAGAAGGAACCTGGCTCTCAGTGTTGGTGGAGGGCCCTGTGGAAGTCAGCAATGCACCCACTCTTCCTTTCCCACAGCTCCTTTCTTGGGAAGAAACCTGTCAGTTTAGCTGGCCTGGGACCAGATTAGGGCAGGGACTAGAAAAGCCTCCATGACTGGCTTCCCTTCAAACACTCAACCCGCTATCTTATAAGCCTAAGAGGAAACCATGCATTTGAATTCCAATGTGCTGATTTTTCAATTCCCTTTGGTAGGGAAAAAAAAAAAAAGTTCCACTTTGAGGGACACATACGTTGACATTTCACTTTGGAATTACTCCACTTTCCATTGCTTTGACAAGTAGCATAGAAGGATGCTGAGCCAACACTTCCCTAGAGAATAATAGACATCACCATTAATTTATAAAGAAAGATATGGAAAATCAAAATCAAAAATGGAATTGATCTTAGCCTTGGATCAATGAGGTATCCTCACCACAAAAAGCTTAGAGACATCTTAGCAGAATGACCCAAAGGACCTAAGAGATGGGGCTGAAAGACAGCTTTGCCTCAGCATGTCAGCTCTCCCCTTCCCCAGGAAGACTGAGGCAGAGAGAAAATGCCAAGTTGGCCAAGGGGCTCCATCACTCACAAGGAAGAACTAAAGGTCTTAAGCTGTTCTGTCTATAGAAAAGGTGTCATACCTTGATCAGACAAGTACATTAGGTGAATAACTCAACAATTTCAGTAAGCTCATCCTGATTGGGGCCAGGGCTGGGGAGAAGCCCAGATGGTACTTTACCGCCACAACTTCAAACCCTTCCAGGCAGTTTATCTTCACCACATCTTTAAACACGTATTTTGCTTTCTCAGGCTCCCAAACAGAATTGGCAGTGTCTTCTTTAGGACAGGGGATTGCTTGGAAAAGAACAGAAATTGGGACAGAAAAAAAAATTTTACTAAATAGTAGGAGACTCTCTATTCAGTTTGCATCATTTTCACACTTTCTAAAATCATCCAGTTGTCCTCAATCCTGATGCTTAACATTCCAGTATAGCAGATGTCTACAATAATATAGCATTGCTAAGTAACCACCCCCAAGCTGCCTGCACTCTCAGGTCTAGTTGAGGGACTACTAGAGGTAGAGGCATTTCAATGACCATTGACAGATCTAGATTTTCCTGAGGAAGTGAAGCATCTCAAACAATATCTATCTGTTTTGATTCTACCCTGTCTAAGGACTTTGGTATCACCAACCAAAGAGCAACTTCCAGGTTACTCACGTTCTCCATGGTAACGAAGTTTCCAGCCCTTTTTTTGCTCTGTTAGGTCAGTTTGGAATATGATATCAAGAACATTGCTCTTAGTTTCGATATTTAGTGGCCCAGGGAATCCATTACCACAGTAAGGACCAAATTGTTGACCTTGTGCACTAAACTGAAAGGAAACAAAATGATGAAATCAGAAGAGAGAAAGAACTAAAAGAAAGAGGTAAAATGTAGGGGGGTAAAAATAAGAGAGGTATTAAATGTAATACAAATAAGAAGAAGAGAAAAAAGGAAAATAAGGGACAGGAAAAAAAGACAATTTTGTCTTCAAGGAAAAATCTCTTAATGTGAGTTGGGGGTGGGGGAATTAATCAACCATCACGCACAACTAAACTGTCAGGGCAGTTTCCCTCTGAATCGGCTGGTTCCACATCAAAATCTTTGTGCATAGTCACCACTATTTGGAACCCCTTCTCCAGCAGGATCTGGTATTCACACCTTGAGTTCTCTGGGTATAGATTGGGATAATTGGGACTTGCGATCTCCCCAATTGGTGTAGTGAATACATCCCCGCTGCAATTGACTGAGGGAAGAAAGAGAGAAAGAAGAATGAAATGTAAAGTGAAGCAAAAAGGAGTTCCTGCCCTGTTCTGTGATTCTGTCTCCCATAAAATCCCATCCAAACTAGCCTGAAATCTATGCACTGACTTGAGCCTACATAGAACAGTCACCTGTCCCATACATGCCAGGAGAAATACCCAAGGCCTATTAGGTTTCCATCGCTTGGCTTATAACAGAGCCCTTCATGGTTATGAAGGCATCTCTCGTCTCCAGTTTAACTAAGTTTACCCTGTAGCCTTTTCTTCCTCCCTTCTGTGGCTCCCCCTCAGCTTATGAGCAGCTAAGAATAGATGCCCAAAAAAGCTGGGCCCAATCACAATTGGAAGAGTGGACAAAGCTGTTTCTGAGGTCTCAAGCCATTCCAAATCCCAGGGAACACGCACCCTCTCAGTGCCAACCTCACCTCCACAATTCCTCATATCATCGTGGAGGAAGTATTCCGGAGGGCAGGAGCAGAAGTAACCACCAATGAAGTTGTTACAGAAGTGGCTACAAGGGACATCTGCAAAATCTGTGCACTCATTTATATCTACGAAGAGCAGAGAAAGACCGAGGTCAAGAACAAACACTGAGGCAGCACCCATAGCTCAGTGGGTAGGGTGCGAGCCCCATATACCAAGGGTGGCGGGTTTAAACCCAGCTCCGGCCAAACTGCAACAAAAAAATAGCCAGATAGCTGGGCATTGTAGAGGGCACCTGTAGTCCCAGCTACTCGGGAGGCTGAGGCAAGAGAATCACCTAAGCCCAAGAGCTGGAGGTTACTGTGACCTGTGACACGATGGCACTCTATTGAGGGCAACAAAGTGAGATTCTGTCTCTTAAAAACAAACAAACAAACACTGATGTGAGGCCGAAGCAGGTGAATCTGCTTGAGCTCAGGAGTTCAAGACCAGCCTGACCAAGAGTAAGACCCTGTCTCTAAAAATAGCCAGGCGTTGGGGTGGGTGCCTATAGTCCCAGCCACTTAAGAGGCTGAAGCAAGAGGATTGCTTGAGCACAAGAGTTTGAGGTTGCTGTGAGCTATGATGCCACAGCACTCTACCGAGGGCAACAAAGTGAGAGTCTGTCTCAAAAAAAAAAAAAAAAAAAAAGAACAAACACTCAAAAGGGTGAACAAGGTTAAACTCAAAATTGTAAGGGTAAGAAAAAGTAGGAAAAGCCTATTGCTTGAAGAGCCTCAAGGAGCCACATTTCAAGATGGTATTATCCTACTTTACTCTCCTGAAATATGATGCTAGAGGCGCGCCCTACCATTGCACAGCTACAGGGAGCACTTATGGCCAGAGACCCTTGACTCTGCACATCCAGAGCATTTCAGCTCCAGACACAATGCTGTGCTGGCCATGATGGTGTGCAATGGTAGGGCACACAGGGAGGAACACTTAGTATCTTCATTGCTTTGTACCATGTCAGTACTTCTACCAAATCTAAACAACAGTTTGGCTGTGTGTTCTAACTTCATTCTAACCTGGTGATGGATCTAGAAGGATCCAGAATTTGAAGGTTTGAGTGCCATAGGTTCGATGTGTTTTCCCTTACATTATCTTTGTGATTTTTTTTTTTTTTTTTGGAGACAGAGTCTCACTTTGTCACCCTTGGTAGAGTGCCATGGCATCACAGCTCGCAGCAACCTCAAACTCTTGGGTTTCAGTGATTCTCTTGCCTCAGCCTCCTAAGTAAATGGGACTACCAGTGCCCGCCACAACGCCCAGCTATTTTTTGTTGCAGTTGTCATTGTTACTTGGCAGGCCCTGGGCTGGGTTCGAACCCGCCAGCTCTGGTGTATGTGGCCAGCACCCTAGCCACTGAGCTCCAGGCACCGAGGCAGAGGCACTTAACTTTCCTTATCTTTATATAAAGATAATAATACCTACCTTGAGGAGTTGAAGTGAAGATTATGTTAAAATAGGTAAAAACCCCTATATAGTACACAGTTCGTGGTGGTTCTCAATAGCCTGCTGTTTATTATCTATGATTATCATTATCATCATCACTGCTAAAATATGACCATGTGCTTGAATTTCACAATGGGACCCAGGGCAAGTCAACACTTTGTAAGAATTATGAACAGAATTGTCATTTAATAATGTGTTGCTCAATGTTTTTCCTGCTTCTAATCTTTTAACTAAGTCAGTAAGGCACATACGGAAGGGTGAGCCTTACCTACAGCAACATAGTACGCAGCAAACCCAGTGAAACGCTCTTCATTGGAGAAGTCTGACTTAAAGGTCACCTGGAGTTTATTGGATGGGACTTGGAACTCTTCCACAATTGGGGAGTTGGGATTCTTCCTGGTCCTCTGTCCACAGAGTCTCCCTTCTTCATTGTCTCCTGACATTATCTAAGAGAAGAGTCAGAATGAAGCTAGGAAGGGGTAATGTTTTGGTGTGGAGGGAAGAGGACAGGAGACAGAGAGAGTAGAATATTCACCCTCGTAGGACTATTTGACACCAGTGCTCTGTATGTTTGCAGCACACTTCCTCTTATGTCCACTTTACACCACCCAGCCCTGGTCTGCCACCTCCGTTCTTGATGTGCTTGTGATGTACCTGCACCGAGTCATACGCGCAGTTCTCTGATAGCTCGATGTCCACATGGGTGAAGTAGAGGTGAATTCCATATCCTTCGGGAACTTCTATATCCCAAGATTTCTCTATCTCATTGGGGTATGCCTGAGGATAGTTAGGGGACAGAATCTCCCCGTACATGGTAGGCTCAGCACAAACCCATGCCAAAAGGGAAAACAGGACAATACACCTGAAAAAAAAAAGGCCAAAAGAGGTAGGTGACCCAGGGACCAGCAACCTAGGGCAGAACTCTAGCATGTTGTAGCCAGAAGGAAGGAGAAAGGGACAGGGTGGTCAACAGGCCATGGAGGAGAAC